TTTTTTTTTTTTTTTTTTTTTTTTTTTTTTTTGCCTCTCTTTTATTTACAATTTCTTGTTAGATATATATATATATATATACATATAGTGATGTATTAGAATTTTCTGTACAATTTATGCCTTTTATAGATGTTCTTTATTAATTGATTGGATTTATTATGAGAAGGGAAGATTTTTATTTTCTCTTTGTCTAATTAAAAATCGTATTAAAAAAACAACAAAATTGAACATTAATTAATAAGTTAAGGAATTAAATTCATAAAGTTTTATATGTGAATTAATTTTTAAAGTTTCATGTAATTTAATATGTAAGAAATTAATATTGTAATAGCATATGAACACGATACTCAATTTGACACACGAGGCCAAATAGATAAGGTAAAAAAAAGTAATAAGGACTTGTTGAATAATTATGTCGTAAATTTAGAGACTAAAATAAATATTTTAAAATTGAAAAAAATGCAAGAGGTCGATATTTTAAGAATTTAAGAATAAAAATAAAGGTGATGCTACACTTCACCAGCTATTTTAGGCAACATAAATTAGAGTTGACTTTTAAATTAAAAAATAATTTTTTAAAGAAAATATCACTCTCTAATTGGATGTTCGTGAATTTGAGCCATTTATATAATTACTAATATATATTTTTCCTTTTATGTAACAATCTCAATTTTTCTAAGAAACTTGTTTTAATAATTGTTTACTCTTATTATTATTATTATGATTATTATACATTCATTTCATGGAATGTGAATTTTTAAAAAAATTCAGAATTTTTAAGTGAGTAAATTTGCAAAATATAAATAATATTAAAGCCAACAAAAATGTCGAGATCTCGTCAATAAATATTTCTTTAAAAAAATATATAAATAAAAATTTCATTAAAGAGTAATTAAATTAACCAATAAACATTTCTCCATTTTTATTAAACTAAAACCTCTTATTATTAATATTTATATATAAAATAATAATATTTTAGTCTAAAAAAATATATTTTTTTATTCGCATAATTTGGCCCAAAAAAACCAATTATTGGCGGCAAAAAGAGAAAAAAAAAAAAGGTCAGTGTCGAAAACAGCTGTGTTTAGAAAGACAGGGATTCGTAGGCTCTCACGGACCCCAACCGACAACCTAATTCCCTGTCCTTTTTCTCCCTAAATTTATTCTCTTAAATTATTTATTTTTATATAATTTTTTTAAAATATAACAACAAATAATAATTTCAATTATATTTTATAATCTAAGTTGGGTATTTGAAATGAAGAGAAGGCAAAATATTGAGGAAGAAAGAAAGAGTTTTTTTTTTTACAATAATATTTTCAAACATGCATAAATAATGGACAGAAAAATATTAACCCAAAAATTAAAAATTTAAAGTAAAAAAAAAAATATTTATATGTAATTACAGTGTATTTACCTAACAATGTAAAAATAAAAAATAAAAAAAAAGACTCAATTCATCCTCTGCGGATTTTCTCGAGAAAATTTCTGCATTTTCTTGCTCCCCAATCATCTTTCCACTCCACTAAACGCTTTACAAACACCCCCATTTAATAGCTGCATCAAAACCCACAAATAAAAACTATGTAAGGGACTAAATTATAAACTTTTAAAACTATAAGGACTAAATCGAAAACGCTTACCATTTACTTTACTCGTCCTTTGGACGTTATTTTTCTTGTTTTTTGGGGTATGAACCTTGATAGCTTTTATTTTTCATTGGCATGAAGAGAAATGAGAATCCTGTCCAAAGGCTCCAAGCATACTACATGTAAGTTCCATCAGCTTCCCTGCCATAATTCGTACAAAAAACAGTGTTATCGACGACAATGATCGAGTCGGGGTGTAACAGTAAGTCAAACCAACCGACCCCGTTACATCGACTCAGTTGGATTCTTAACCAAAAGTCAAGTAAAGAAGGAGGATCATTTGTGGGGAAAAGAATAAGAACAATGATATACAGGCTGTTGTAAGCTAATAACAATTGGGTGGTGGGGAAAAAGGAGAATGTGGAGTGTTTCTCAAACTTATTGTGGTATTTGGAGTGTGATGACAAAAACCCAACTAAGCAAAAGAATTCAAATAATTGAACAGAGTAACAACAACACAAACTATGTAGATTTCAGCTCAAGATGCCCGACATGATATGTTTTGTCGTGTCGTAGCTACCATAATTTGAACTCATTCATCGAACTATACTGTTTTTCCGATGATCGAGGCATATCGAAGCAACAAATCTTATTCAACCTACTTATCGACGCATATCGAAGCAACAAATCTTATTCGACCTACTTAGAACTCAAGAACATGATTGTACAATCTATGAACAAGTTCATCTTAGCATCAAGAATTGAATCAACCCACAAAAATACTTAGCAGAGATTCAATAAGCAATTCAATATCATCTCTAAGAAGTGTTCGTCAGTTCTATAATGCACAAGAGAATAATGAAGAAGAAATTATACCTCTTCTTGGTTTAGTTGCAACTTTAAGAGCTGAATTTAATTTCTTCTCTGCAGGTTTGTCCTCCTCCAATGGAAACAGAACACCATCAATGCCCTGCACTGAAATCCGACCATCTGTGTATATGTCGGGGTCGAACAGATAAGCAGAGCCTTCACCTTGTCCGAATTTCACTGACCCATCGGCCTCCTGTGCCATGACGGCGTGTGGCAGCCGGAGCGTTTGGTACCGGACTTTCCCGAATCTCCGTACGGCATTGTACATACTTTCCTCTGTTTGGTACTCCGGGATTACATGGTAGTATATGATCTGCTCCGGTGCCCCTGGTTCGCTCAGCTGATCTGTTGTCAGCTTCGCCATGGCTTCGTCGTTTGGAGCGAGGACTGTAAGAACATACCCTTCTGAGACTAATCTCCCCATCTCTGTAGCCAGAGATGTTAAATTCACTAAAATGTCAGCCATCTCGTTGTAGCCGCCGTAATGTAGCAGCGTTTGGATGAAATCCTTCACCTGCCGCTCGCCGTCGAAGTGGTGGTGGGGTCCTCCGGGGCCGGGAGCTGGTGCAGGAGCGAGAGAAGGGCCTGGAGCTAAAGCGTCGTAGATTGGCAAAACGGGTGGCGCTCCGGCGGGGACTGATGGAGCCGGTTTCTTCAACCGGTGGGTACGTGGGTCGACTTCCGGTGCACCTTCCGGCAAAACGGCGGAAATCGACTGCAAATTTCTCCGTCGGTTGAAATCCTCTTGCACAGAACGGGGAATCAGTAGCCGTTCGATTCCGTGGATCACACCATCGGGACGAACAACATCATCAGGACGAACAACCTCGGCAGAACCAACGATTCTCTTACCAGAATCAGAGTTCTTCAAATCCAAATGGGAATCCCCTAATGTCCGATGTCGAATCGGCGAAGAACTTTGTTGAGGCCATTGATTGAACCCAACCCTTTTAGGAACAATGTGAGACATCAAAAGGGTTTGAAGGGATTTCAAATTCCGTGGCTCGAGAAGGAATCGCTTAAACTCAGGGTCCAATTCGCGTTCTAAGGCTTCATTTCTGGGCGCAAAAATGGTGAGATTGTGGTTCCCGACGGCGTCCTCTAGGGTTTGGAGCAAGAGGGCTTTCTCAACGAGCTCTGCAAGTTCAGTGTAGTGGGAATCAAGAAGGGCGACGAGGATGGAGTTGGAATTGATCAGAGTGGCGGTAGAGGAAGGGGATTTGGGAAGTGGGTCACGGCGGAGGGCGGCGGAGGAGAATGGGGAAAGGGAAAGAAGGGAGAGAAAGAGGAAAATAAGAGAGACGCCATTGGAGGGGGAATCCATGGCGCTCAGAGAAGAATGGTGAAATGGAAATGGAAATGGAAATGGAGAAGAAAGCGGGAAAATATTAGGAGGGGAAAGCGTCGGTGTCGGTGAGAGAAGGGGAAGTGACAGTGGGGACAAAGGGAGAGAGAGAGTAATAATGGAGAAAGAGAGAGAAAGAGGAGAGAGAGAGAGAGAGAGAGAGAGGGAAAGCTATGAGGAAGAAGAAGGAAGAAGAAGAAGACTTTTTAGGGCTAAAAGGAGAGAGAAAGAAGGAGAGAGAAAGAAGGAGAGAGAGAGAGAACAGGCTGGCCTTAAGGACCCACACGGCAGCGACATTGACACTACCTTCTCAGCTTCCTTTTTTCCTTCCTTCTTCCTCCGGCGCTCAGCTCCACCCACGCCGCGCTGCGCCGGGTACTGTGTCACGTCCACATTTTAAATTTTTTCTACATTATAATTTTTTTAAAAAAAAATTAATTGATACCCACATTTTTTTTAAAAAAATAAGAGTCGAAATATTTATTACTCAAATTTTCATTTATTTATTTCCCCATTTTTATTTTAAAAAACAGTATAAATTTTAATGATATAAGTATTCGTATAAATCTTTAATTATTTTAATATTGTTGCAATATAGCTCGTTCATTAATAAATTTTGATTTTTTTGCCTTTAAAAAACATGAAAGAGTTTTAAATTAATGTATTTTATTTAGGCTAACAAATCAAAATTTAAATATTTTCACCGTGAATTAAAAAATAATAATTTTATATCATTGAAACTAAAAATATAATCTAGGAAATAATTATTTTAATATTTTCATTTGTGAAATATAAAAAATGATGAGAAAAAGAATATTAAAAAGAGTTGACAAATTAGAAAAAGAAAATAAAGGTGGGAATAAAATATCAATAAAGACGATCTACAAATCATTTGAATTGCATATAAAATCAGATTTATACATAATTAGGAAAATTATTTGTGTTATTAATTTATGTGTAGTTGCTTAATTGTGCATTAATTAGAACAATTATTACTAAAAATAAAATTAGGAGGGAGAGAGAGAGAGAGAGAGCCGAGCGAGCCGACAGAAAAGGCACGTGGGAAGAGCAGGGTGTTAAATTAAAGGCGAACTGTCGGTGACATTACTAGCCTTCATTCCACGCCAACTCCCTCGTGTAATTCACGCACCTTTCAGCGCGAGTGAAGAGAGGTTCGTCCTTCGACGTCGTTTCGTACCGTAATTAATTTTTTTTAAAAAAAATCAATATTTGGTCGTGCGGTGGCGACGTTTCACCCGCCGGGAGGTTAGTTGTCGCCGTCAGCCGTCGGCTTTGGCTCACCTTTTACTTTACTTTCCCACCAATTTTTATTTTCTTTTTAAAAACTTTACAAGTTCTAATTTTCATTAAATTTCAATTATTATATAAATAACTCTTATAAATCTCATAATTTGAAAATAAAATAAAATATTTATTTTCTTTAAAGTTCGATCAATTTTCAAAAAGATATATGTTTTATAATTTATTCCATACACATAATAATATTTTATTTGCTAAATTTACGATAAAAAATGAGATTTTTCTACTTTTTTTTAATTGATATAATTAATATTTGAAAGGTTTTAATTTCAACTCATATTCCTTGCTTAGTAAGGTTATGTAAATCTAATAGTGGAATGGTGACATGATGCTTAAAACTTTATTCCAATAAAAGAATATAATATATATATATATTTTAATGACTAGTTTTTATATAGTTAAAATTTAAAATTTTCTATTATTAAAAAAAGAGAGATATTAAAGGGTCTAATTAGACTTAATTGTGCATGAATTGATTTTCATGAAATTAATAAGCTTTATAATTACAAAAATTATTTTTCCTAAAATTAATAAGAATTTTTTTATTATTTTTCTCTTGATTTATTATATTATTTAAGAGGTAATTTTTTCTGTCGGTGATGTTAAATATATTTGGTAGTTGGTGAGAGAACAAATAGGACTTTCAAATAAAAGCAATTGTCGCTAAAATATAAAAATTGAAAATCAAAATTCAATGAATGAATTAAATAGAAAAATATATTTTTTTAAAAAATAATATCAATTAATTAATAAATATAAGGAGTAGGGATAAAGAAATGGCTATAGAAGCCATTACTATGGGAAGAAAAACGATGAGAATGATGGAAGTGACTCATATAATTCATTTTAAATTAACCAAATTAATTAAAAGAAATATCTAAAATACATAATAAAAATTTAGTTAATAAGTCCTAATAACTTCATGACTTATTCTTAAAAATCCACGAGCATATCATAAACATAATTAAGAGTTCAATTATATATATTTTTTTACCTAAAAAAAGAAGTAAATAAAGTAAAATAATTTAATAAACACAAAATTCAATTTAAAATTAAAATGTATTTTTATCATTAACTGTCCAAACCCACTATTTGCAGATATTGTCGACTTTTCCTTAAAAGGAAGAAGGGTTCCTCAAGGCTTTGTTTTTCCCTTATAAGGCTTCTCGTCAAGGAAGAAGGGTCCCTCAATCCACACCTTTATAAGGAAAGTCTCGTTCCCCTACCGATGTGGGATCTCACTAAGGTTCAACATCATCACTGGCACACTACCCGGTGCCGAACTCTAATACCATTTGTAATAGTTCAAGCTCATAACTAACACATATTGTCCTCTTTAAGTTTTTCTAAAAAGGCTTTCTCAAAATTTTAAAACACGTCTATTAAGAGGAGGTTTCCACACCCTAGTAAGGAAGATTTTGTTCCCCTCTCCAATACATGTGGAATCTCACACAAACATAATCAGTTTCCGAATCCAAAATCTAATACAAATAAGAACATTGATCCCAGGTATGAAAAGAAGCAAACAAACCAATCACAAAAGATATTAACATCCAGTTTCTCCAATAGAACAATCAACAACAAATGACTATAGAAAAGGTTAGTATTTTATGTATAGAAAAGGTTAGATACATTCATACAAGATGTCTATAGATGTGAAGCTTTTCTCCCAAACTCCCTTCTCCTCTCCGCCCCCCCCCCACCTCCTTTCATCCTTATTGTATTTTTCAGTTCAGACAACAATCAACAACATCAATCTCTCTCTCTCTCTCTCTACACATGAAATTCTGTCCCTTTTTGTCTGCAAAGGTGTCACGTCGGTTTGGTTCGTGTTCCTCGGAATATCAAGTCTGGAGATATATACATATATATAGTTCACCGGATAGATAATTCATCTTCACATCAGATCAAAACAAGCAGAGATCTCAAGGGTGTGGAAGTACAACCCAAACAAGCAAGATCCAATTCAAGTAAGGAAGATTGAAAGAGAGATGAAAGAATCTTTTATAGCTTTGAAGGAAGTAAGGTGTGAGATCCACCTCAGTTGGGGAGGAGTACGAAGCATTCTTTGTAAAAATGTAGAAATCTTCCCCTAGTAGACGCATTTTAAAATGAAGAAAGAAAGAGGAAAGTATCTGCTAACCGTGGGTTTGGACGGTTACATATTGCAACTCCACCCTCGGTTGTTTTTTCGTGAAAGTTGGGAGGTTATGAAGGGCAACTTTTAAAATTGAGATGAAGGAGAAAGAAAGAAAGAAGTGGAGTCATTTTAAACAAAAAACTAGTTGCAGTATGCATAAGGTTGCATCAGACTCCAATAAGATGCAAATTAAGAGGAACTCATATGTAACCAAACAACAAGCTAAACGGTAGTGTTTAGCTACTCACCTTCAGAAATAAGATGCTGACGACCAATGCAGTTCCCAAAATTAATATGTAATGAGCTAACGCTCAGCAGATGTTGCAGCACAAGAAGTTGGAGCACTGCTACCGTTTAAAGAGTTCTGTGCGTGGCTCTCCCTTCTAGTGTGGCCACCCTGCTCATTAGAATCTTGATTCGTAATACCATCCTCACCGGTTTCGAGACGTTGCATCATACGTGATACACTGGCAATTCCTGCGTTTACTTCTCTTCGAACTTCAGAACCGAATTCCGACATGGAAGTGCTGCGTGAGAATAGCCGCTCTTTCCACCCTCTTGTGCTCTTTGAAATTGATTCTTTGTACCTTAAGTACCAGAAAGCTCTTAGAAAAGCTCAAGAATAAGAGCATCATCTAAAACTCTTGCACATACAGTTACATGTATCATATAAGCACATCATTTGCTTGCTAGTTGTGACTTCTTTACGTGTGCAATGTGGGTGAGCTCGTGATCGAGTCTGGAAACTTCACTATATCCATTAAGAATTTGACACGTACCTCATGGACGCTGCATTAAGTCTTGATTTTAGAGATTCTGAGAATGACTGAAATTCAGATGGCCCAGCTCTATCCAGATTTGGAGATGGAGAATCTCTAGTGGAGATTCTGTGAATGAAGGATCGGTATTAAAAGAATGCTAGCAACAAAGAAGCCATAACAAGAATCATTTTGAAACAACTGTATACCGAACGCCAGATGTATCTCCTCGTACATTGGCTGAATAGTTAGATACCGATGCCGAGCGAGAAACTTGATCAGTCCGAATGGACGGAAACTGTGCAATATGCTGAGATGGTTCGTCCCCATGAGGTGTTCGTGGGCTCGAAGGACTAGCAACTGTAGTACCAGCTGGCTCAGTGTCTACTCCAGAGGCCAAAACATGCTCAGAAGGAGGCGCACCAGGATGAGTGGAGAAAACCAAGAACTGAGGATGTCCATGAGAAGATGACCGACTCCTCTGCGCTTCTCGTCTACCAATATGGTGTGTCCTCCCCACCGCAGCAGCTGCAGCCAGATGTTGAATTATTCTCTCCTCGAGCTCGTTATTAACGCCCAGAGGCAGCTGCATTAGAACAAAGCATATTCTTGAATAGTTCAAATATCATCAAAACTTGAAAATTTGTAAAAGTTAGAAGATAAACCAACATGTTGCAACTCGAAATTGCCAAGAGATGGATGATGAAACACAGCAGTATTTCTCACAGGAGTTGCTCTTATATTCCTCTCCCGTTCGACCGCCTCCAACAACTCTCGACTGCAATAACATAGACGAGTAAACATACCTCATAATATGTAAAACAGGAAGAACTGTAGATGCATCATCTGGAAGTAGAAAAGTGAACCTGGAGGGATCCTTCAGGCTGATAGCTTGCCAGCACATTGGGCATTGAGAACTTCTCTGGCACCTTGCATATCATCAAAAGACCAATTCAATTTCATATGTATAGTTTCTCCGCCAGTCCCAATGGGCAACTTTATCAAGTTGCTTCTCTAGACACATGCTACATGTAACCTAAGTTCCACATGCATCACACATTAACGTAACAACCCAAGCCCACTGCTAGCAGATATTGTCCTTTTTGAGCTTTCCCCTCAAGGTTTTTAAAATGCACCTGTTAGGGAGAAGTTTCCACACCCTTATGAAGAATGTTTTGTTCCCCTCTCCAACCGATGTGGGATCTCACAATCCACCCCCTTCGGGGCCTAGCATCCTCGCTGGCACACCGTTTTGTGTCTGGCTCTAGTACCATTTGCAACATCCCAAGCCCACCGCTAACAAACATTATTCTCTTTGGGCTTTCCCTTTCGGACTTCCCCACAAGGTTTTAAAACGCACCTACTAGGGAGAGGTTTCCTCATCCTAATAAAGAATGCTTCGTTCCCCTCTCCAACTGATGCGGGATCTCACAATCCACCTCCCTTCGGAGCCCAGCATCCTCGCTGAAACTCGTTCCTCTCTTCAATCAATATGGGATCTCACAATCCACCTCCCTTCAGGGCCCAGCGTCTTCACTGACACTCATTCCTCTCTCCAATCAATGTGGGATCTCACAATCCACCCCCTTCGGGACCCAGCGTCCTCGCTAGCACACCTCCTGGTGTCTGGCTCTGATACTCCTGTAACAACCTAAGCCCAAGATAGTAGATATTGCCATCTTTGTGCTTTCCCTTTTGGGCTTCCCCTTAAGATTTTTAAAACGCGTCTGTTAGGTAGAGATTTTCACACTCTTATAAAGAATGTCCCGTTCCCCTCTCCAATAAATGTGGAATTTCACAATTTATAATACATTTTACAAGAGATTCTCACGGCAACAATTCAATCCATGAAACAAGACTCTACCCCTAGAACATTGAAAATGCTGGATAAACAAAACAACCAAACTTAAAACAGGTGTTCCTAGTCAGGTGTATGCAACATTTCAAAAATTACCACTCAAGGATGCATTGGAGATGAAACTCATGCTTGCAGGCAGTAACCTACATGAAAGACAACAAAAGAATCATAAGAAATGCAACTCCAATCTACTACTGTGTTCATAATTAATATTGTTTTTGGATCAAGAAAAAGAAAGTACAATCAATCAATAAACAAAAACGGGTTAATCATCGTACCGTAGAAGGATCAGCTTCACAAAACTCCTCAAGGCAGATGCTGCAAGCATCATCACAAGCTTCTTGAATCCCGCCTTCGACAAAAGCAGCAGCCGATGTCAAACGATTCTCAGAATCCGTCTCTTCCTCCATCTCCAAAACCTAAAAACCATTAAAAACGTAATCAACACAACACAAACCGATCAAATCTAAACAAAACAAACAGGGTTCGCAAGTTTAAATCAATCCATCTCTTCGATCAAATAACATAGAACAGGATTCGATTTCCAAATAACTCCAAAACAAATTTGAAGCTAAAGAGCGGGAAAATGGTATCCAACAAAAATTAAAGATCGCATCAGATCGCAACGAATAATCTCGACGAACAACTTATGGGTTTACCTCGATTAAGAAATTGAAACAATCCGAGAAGAAGATAGGTCGAAGAAATTCAACCCAAAACCCCCATAATAAGTATCAGATCGAGCTCATAAAATCTCCCCACTCCCAGAGAAAACCTCTGCTAGGGGAACATATCAACAAATCTTAATACCCGCAGAATCCACCGAGGAAGAAAGATGAAGAAAATATGATAATCAGAGAGAAAAAGAGAGAAAAGAAAAGCACAAAATAAATTCCCCTTTTACCTTCAATAATGGGATTGTTGTTGCTTTAGCCTCTCTCCCTCTCTAACACTTTATTATCCATTAAAAATCATTCGGTGTTGGAAAACAAACCCACCATCAAAGCATTGGAGAGAACCTCAATGTCTGATCCTTGCAAAAAAAAAAAAAAAAAAAAAAAAAAAAAACTTTTAGACGCTAATTTAAATACGCAAAATAACGTTTAACAAGAAATGAAAATATGTAGAATTTTTTCGCAATAGCAAAGCACGAGCTAAAATCATTTAAAATAAATTAAAATTTTAAAATTTTAAATTATAGAATATAATCCAATCCTGTTATTATAAAGTGATGTGGATTTAATTAAATGTAATATATACAAATTTAAAAAGTGTTAATCTGCAATGACAGGCAATGATTGGTTTGACACTGCCAGCAAAACATGAATGTGGATTTCATTAAAATAACCCAAATCAAATCAATCTCAGTTACTATCTAAACAATAACATTATTTTAATTATACTTTAATTTTAAAATTTGTATAAAATATTAACATGTTTCCTATCATTATATAAGAATAAAAATACAATACTAATGTTTGATTTTTATAGTTAATCTTAATCATTATAAACTCTTATGTTTTGATGAGTGGGTTCTTCAACGAGAGATAGTAACAAAGCATTATTTAGAAGAGTGCGAAACTTAACCCTAAAATTACGAGATTAATGGTAGTCTATAACAGGTCAAAGTAGACAATATCTAACGATGGGGTTGGGCTTCCCGAGGTTGCAGCGATACATACCAAGCAAAAACTGACCATATTTGCTAACAGGAAGTTGAGTTTGGACGGTAAGGCAAAAAATAAAAATGCTACTAAGACCTTCGAGATGATGGATGAATGTTGTGATGTTTTTTTTATGGTACAAAAATAATAATAAAAACAAAGGAGAAGCACCTGAGGGAAACATTTTTGCAGTTGGAAAATGACGGTTGAGAGCACATGGTGGGCAGAGAAACTGCTTTCCTTCAATGCTTGACTATCCTTTCCAACTACTTATAATTATTTTCTTTTTCTAACTTTATATTACACATTTTTATTATTTAAATCCTATTTTCCTCTCATTTTGTTGCTGTTTATTTATTTATTTATTTTTAGTCAAATTGATTATTTATTTTGTTCCTTGTTTATCTTATTTTTTCCATCCTAATTTTTAATTGTCACATCCTTATATTTCTTCTGTCATTCTAATTACGATAAAAAAAATATATATATATATTCTTATAAAGATCATATTTCAAAGTAAATTCACATTTTTTGGAATTAATATAATTTTGTGTGGGAGTTAGTGTGACACGAAATTCAAAAAAAATTGTTATAATTAAAAAAATTGATTGAATTAAAATTCTATTCCATAAACTTTCAAATCAATGTGACAATTTATAGATTCTTAATTCTCATTTTAAGTCTTACAAATTTATTAAAAAAAAAATGTAAATATATATTCAATTTTGTATTCAAAATATTCTTCCTAATCTTTTTAAATTAAAATTTAAAAAACCAAGTTAAATGAACTAAATAGAAAAATTAAAACGAAAACTTGGGGGAAAAATCATTTAAGCCTAACACAAATTACTACAATTAAAAAATAATAATAAATCCAAATATTGGTTTGGCGTTCTTATATGTAGAAGATAATTAAAATGAAAAGGAAGAGAGAGCGGGAGAGAGAGAGAGCGAAGTATGTTTTTTGGGGAAGATGGCATGAGAACGAGAAAAAAGATGGAAGAACTTTGATGCTCAAAAAAATAAATTAAATTCAATTATATTCAAACGCAGAAAGTTTGAAGAGGGAGAAATTTCCCTTTTCATTCATGTTTTAGGAAATTTTGCAAAGGAATTAGGGAAGAAAACGGAGAGGAATCGTTTCTCAATTAGAGCTTGAAATTTGATCTCTCTGTGAAGGGCTTCTCCAGAATCCAGTATTGTAAAAAACCTCCCACATCTCCTTTTCAAGTTCCACTACTTTCCTCTCCGCCTCCTCTGAGTACACCGTTTTTTCCATCGTAATAACCTGAACATCCGCATCGTCGAGAATTCCGCCAGGGAATCGGCCCAGCCTCGCCGGATGAATTCCTTTTTTCTTCTTCACGTTCTGTCGGTGCTTTGTCCTCAGAGCGCGGCGGCAGAGGCCAGCCGGAAGCTTGTAAATGGCGAGGACGAGGAAGTTAACGGCGATACAAGGACAACAACAGAACACAGCGGCACACTCTGCGGTCGTACCACCGGCTACCTCTGCGAACCGAACAGTGCTAGAGACGGATTTGCTCGGTATCAGAGTTTGTCGAGGGTTCGACAATGTCGGACGGAACATAACCGCATTCGACATTACGTTTCTTCCGCGAGGCTCAACGATAGAACTCAGTGATGTTGATCGGAACCTCCTCTCTATTTTCCGCCTGTGCTTTGGCTCGATAGAAAACCGCCGAGCAAAATCACAAATCGAAAGAGAGAAATTCCTCACTACGAACTCCAAATACCGCCATCATTGAAAGAATCAAGAAAAAACAAGAAAAATCCCTCAAACCTTCTCCCTATACAAAAAAAAAAACCCTAAAAATCAAAATCGAAACCAAAATCAAATCAAATCCAATCGAGTCCAATCCAAAGCACTCCTGTGGGAGAAAGAATAAAGCAATAAAATCAAAACTCCAATCCCTCCTCCCACAAAATAGGCCTCCCGAAGCTATCGACGTACAAAACCTCAAGCAGAAATCGTACAACAATCAAAAACAGAAGAGGCTGCAACGGCGGAGATTGGAGTTGCCGGGAATCAGCAATCCAGGCCCGGAGAACAGAGTGCGCAGAGGGGGAGAATAAGAAGCCCGGGGAAGGCGAAGATGACGGCGGCGAAATCTGAAGAATAGTCGAGGGTTTGAAAGATTCAGAGAGGAGAGGATCCTACTAACGGGGGAGAAGAGAGAGAAAGGAGGAATTTCTGTTATGGGATTTTAAACGAAAATGGGAGAAGGAGAGAAAAAATGGTGAGCTTACAGAGAAGCGTTATAATGTATTCTTCATCTTCTCTTTCTCTTTCTATATTTATTTTCTTTTTGATAATTTGTTTAAAATATTGGAATAATAATAAATAAATAGAAGCTTTCTTCTTGGTCAAAAAATATAACACCATATATTTAATTTGATTGCTCTATATTTTATTAGCAATAAATTAAGAATTCATAATTTATAAATTAGTATATATAATATTAAATCTTCATTCACACGACTAAAAATTAGTATATATTATAGATCCATAATATAATTATTTAATTACTTTTTTATAAACTCTTTAAATGAAACAAATGTCTTATTTATAAAATTATGTCCAAAATCATTAATTTGGTGATACACTCATTCTCTCATATCTAAAAAATTATATGTCTTCGACATATAAAAGTTTAATCAAATATTAAGTTTGATCGACGAGAGATGTCATTTTGCAACCTAGCTTTATGTACTTGATTTTCTTCTCATTGAAACTTGGGGAAGCAACTCGTTTGAGAGTCATAGGATCTATAGTACCTGCAACCCCACAGACTCAATATTCATCATCAAGTATTCTACTTTTTCTCGGATATTCGAGTTCAAATACCCATAAATATTATTGAAATTAAAAAAAAAATCTTTAAAAAATTCAACAATATGTGGAATAAGCAATTGAACATATTTACTCTCGAGTATATATGTTTTATAACGTATTTTGGTGATATAATTGACCTAATACTAATAGTAATTAAATATAAATTGAGTTTGAAAAAAAAAAAAAAGTCAAATGTTTTGTAACGTAAACGTGGAGCCGTTGGATGAATCTAAAAGAGTCGCTATCTGAACCAAACGCCGAACTCTTGACAACTGAGAAGCCGTGTGAAATTATATAAATTCCAAAAAAAATTAATAATAATCGTTTTTAATAAAGAAAGACGAGGTGGAGACTGAAGCCACGTGTCAACAGAGTAGAGGTTTAAACTCTGAAGAAAGTATAGCGATGACGACAGATGGTGTAGTTGAGTACGTGTCGGCCAAATAAGACAACTCATATTATTATCCTCATTATTTATTCATTTTAGCCTTATCTATAAATAATTTATACAAATTAAACAAATCTTATTTATTTATTTATTTAATATTATATTTCCTTTTTAATTTAATAATAATATTGATTCACCCTGTCCATCAACTTAACATAAATTTTAAACCATAATATAACTTAATTAAAAAAAACTAAAAATAAATATTATCTATAAATTATTGATGGAAATATGTGATTAATGAACCCCAAAAAAAAAAAAAAAAAAAAAAAAAAAAAAAAAAAAAAAAAA